CCCCCCCCCCCAGCCGCCGCCGGGCTGCGCCTTCTCCGCGTCCATCTCGTTTTCAGGCCCCCTTACCCTTCGTCTCTCTAGCACCCGGGGTCTCTGTCCTGTCCCTCTCCGGGTTTCCGAGTGTGTCTCTCGTCTCTTTTTTTATGAGTATCTGAGCCCCTCTGTTGGAGTCACAGGTGTCCCCCTCTTGCTTGCTTTCATTCCCTTGTGTGTCTGCGTCTGGCCATGCCTTCGATTTGGGTCTGTGTTAGGGATGTATCGCTGAGTGTCTTTATGGGTCAGTTATCTCTGAGTTTCGCCCTTCTGGGGAACTCTGGATCACCGTCTTTGTTTTGATTCTTGTTTCTTGGGGGCTTTGTCTCTGTGTATCTCTTGTCCCCGTCGATCTCTGTCTCTCTCTCCCTTCCGTCTGGCTTTCTCTGCTTATCTCTCTGGGTCTCTCATCTTTTAGCCCTCTGTGTCTCTGTCCCTGGGTTTCCCCGGGGCGCCCCTCTGGGTCTCTTTCTCTCTCTGTATCTCAGAATTATCGCGAGTCTCTGTCTCAGGGTCTCCGGAGCCATCTCTGAACCTCTCTTCGACCGTCACTCTTAGGTCAGCTCTGCCGCTGTCCTCCTGGTGGCTGCCTGGTCCTCCTCGGACGCTCCAGCTGCTGCAGATCGTGAGCATGTGCGCCGCTCACCCGGTCCCCTCGCCAGGCTCTCCTCCCCGGGGTCTCCACGTGGACTCTGTGCCAGACATTCTCAGACCCAGCGAGACCTGAGCTGCAGCCCTGAATAGTGCCAAAGGAGGCCGGGCATGCCAGGAACGGGTGGGGGCGGGCCGGGGAGATGCCGCAGGGTCACTCGAAGGGACCGAAGGACAGACAGACGATGGCTTTCCAGCCACTGGTGTCCTATGACATCGCGTAAAAATAGCCTCATCGGATGGACTTAAGGGAGAAGTGGCGGGATTGGTCACCTGGACGCTGGGGAATGCGGTCTTGGGCGCCCTCTGCTGGGCGAGTGGAGAGGGGCACTAAATGTTCTAACTGCAAATTCCCGCGCTTCCTCCTCCTTCTAGTTTCTTTCTGAGATGCTATGACGCCAACTCTCTGGATTTCTGGGTCTTGCTTTCTGGGTCTCTATGGTCCCTCCCTCTGTGTCTGTGTCCCTCTTTTCTATGTCCTTAGACCTTCCTTGCTCTAGGTCTCTGTTCCCCATCTCTCTGGTCTCTGAACTCTCTGTGTGAACTGATCCCCTCCTCCTCCCTGCAACCCTGTCTCTTACGCCAGCCGTCCCCGACCTTTTCAGCACGAGAAACCGGTGCTCCTATGAGAATCTAATGTCTGAGGAGCGGAGGCGGAGCTGAGGCGGTGGTGCTGGCGCTGGGGGCCTCTGCAAACACAGATGACGCTTTGCTCGCTCGCCCCACCGCTCACCCCCTGCTATGTGGCCCAGTTCCTAACAGGCTATGGACCGGTCCCAGTCTGCGGCCTGGGGGTTGGGGACCCCCGTCTTACACCCTCCTATCACTGAGCCAGGGGTGGATGCCCCGCCTTGCCACTTCCAGACAATGCTTCCTCCCTCAGCTCCTGTGAAGCTCAGGCTCTCCATGGACACCTTCCCATCCTTCCCCAATGAACTCATCACTTTCCCTCGTGGCCACTCCCACATGGCCATGGGAGATTTCTCATCCTGGCCCTCTCCATCCAATCGCTGAAATGACTGTCATAATTCTTAATAATTTCAATATTCCCATAGATGATTCTGCAAAAACCTGGCCTGTACTGGATTGTCTTTTCCCAAAATGACCGTATTTCTTGTCCTACGAGGTAGTCCTGTACCTTGAAACACCCCATGTAGAAGAGTTCATGTCCCTGGCTTTCGGTGACCCCCTCAACCAACAGACCATCTCAGAAGGAACACTGTGATTTCTGAGTTTGGGACATAAAAGGCAAGTTTCCACCCCACTCTTTCTTGGAATATTTTGTGCAGGCCACATGGCAGGGCCCCCTGTGGAGAGGACCTGAGGCTACCGACCCTTGGCCATGGCTAAACTTCCCGCTGATGACCAGCACCAACCTGTAGCCACGTGAGTGAGCCACCGCGGAAGCACGTTCTGCCACCCCAGCCCGGCCACCCCTGCTGACACTTCTGCAGAATACAGAAGCCCCCTTTCCCACCAAACTAAGCCACCGAGTCTGTGGTCTTTTGTGAGCAAAACGAATGATCTTTCTTGTTTTCAGCCATGCAGTCTTCATTACTGGTAAGAGATAACCAAGCACATGGCCTCTCAGTGGTCCAAGTCCATTTCCATCAACCTTGGCCTCTGCCCTGCCCCAGCCTCCCTTGTTTCTCCTTTCATTTTCTCCCCCTCCCTCCCTCCTTCCCTCCCTTCCTTCCTTCCTAAGTTTTATTAAGCTACAATTCACATACCATACAATTCACCCACTTAAAGTGCACGACACAATGGTTTTTCATAGATCCATAGGAATTGTGCATCTATCACCACAATCAACTTTAAGACATTTTCATTACCCCCCAAAGATGCTGCATCCCTTATCTGACACCCCCTAATCATGCCGCCCGTTTCCATGGTCCTGCCCTAGTCCTTACCAGTAACTCACGCCCCCTCTGGACTCTGTAGTTTTTATCATCTCTGTCTATCCATGTTCTCCTTATTCTCACCAACCAAATTTTTAAATCTTTCAAGCCCAGCAGCAGGTACGACGCGTTAACTCTTACCTTTTCATTATCTCCGACTCCCCGCCACGTGTTCTCCCTTCTTTCCCCTGCTCCCACTGTCCCATGGTCCCCCCATAAAATCGCTGCCTTACTCGTGTCTTTTCACGCCCTTGCCCGTGACCCCCTCTAAGGCGCCTTTGGGGCCAAACCCTAACCCTAGTACAGCCTTCTCTCATCTACTCTCTGCCTTCCCGGGGGGCTCTAAGTGGGGCTGGATCCCAAATGCTAGCCCTGCCTGTGACATGTTCCTCATCGATGTACCTACCCTCCACCTCCCCAAGATGGTCGTTCCCCATCTTGCTCTCAAATCCCGCACAGCACCCTGGCCCTCCCTTCCTTCAATCAGCTGATCACCTCCCTCCTCATTCCACTGAAAACAAAGAAGCTGCCAGAACACTTGGTCTTTCCGCAGCGCATTCTGTCAGCTGCCCGGACGCTCGTCTTTTCATCCGCCCCACCTAATTCAAGCCCAACGTCTTGCCTCGTGTCCCGGATCCCATCACCCCTGTTCCACCCACAGACTCTGGTCCTGTCATCACTCCCGAGTCTCACGTGTCATCAGTATGGGAGGCAAAATGATGCCCCCTCCCCTAAAGGTGTCCATGTCCTAATCCCTAGAACCTTTAAATATATTCTTATATGACAACATATTACCTTACATAGTACGACTATATCGCCTTATATGGCCATATATAGCTCTGCGGATGTGATTAAATTAAGACTCTTGAGTTGATCAGGACGGACCCAATATAATCATAAGGGACTTTATAAGAGGGAGGCGGGGAGGACAGAGTCACAGAAGATCTGAGGATAGAAGTAAAAACAGAAGATGCTGCATTGCTGGCTTCAAAGATGGAGGAAGAGGCCATGAGCCAAGGAATATAGGCAGCCGCTAGGAGCTGGAAATGCCAGCAAGGAAACTAATTCTCTCCCAGAGCCTCTGGAAGGAAGCAGCCCTGGGGATCCGGTTCAGAAGTCTGACCTCAGAACTGCATGATGGTAAATGTGTGTTGTTTTACGCCACTAAGTTTGTGGTGATTTGTTCCAGCAGCGACAGGACACTAACAACCAGTCTGTCTCTCCCATCATTCCTGTGTTATAATAACATCTTTACTTTGAACTTTGAAATATTTTTAGACTGACACAAAAGTTGCAAAGACAGCGGTTTGTGAATATCCTTCACCCAGCATCCCCGAATTCTAGCATCTTACATTGCCTTGGTGCATTTCTTAAAACTCAGAAATTGACATTGGTACAATACTATTGACTAAACGACGTTCAGATGGCCTCTAATGTCCTTTATTTATTCCAGGATCCAATCCAGGATACCACACTGCATTTAGTCGTCATGTCTGCTTAGTCTCCTGCAATCTGGTTGTTTCTTACTTTTTCTTTCTCTTTAAGTATCTCAACACTTTTGAGGAATACCGGTCAGTTATTTTGTAGACTATCTTTGTAGACAACTTGTGTTTATCGGGTATGTTATTGTGATTAAATTGAGGTGATGGTTTTTTGGGGAGAGGTAAGAATGCCACAGAGACGAAGTGCCACAGAGGCCCTTCTCCTCGCATCATATGGGGGGCACGATGCTGACACATCTTATCACGGGCGACATTCGCTTTGATCACCTGGTCGGGGTAGTGTCTGCTGGGTTTCTCCGCTGTAAAGTTAATTACTTTTTCTCCTTGCAATTAATGAATATTTGGGGGAGCCATCTTTTCAGTCGAGTTTATTGAGGTTTAATTTACATGCAATAAAATTTACCCTTTATAGTGTCTTGGCAAGTGTATACAGACATGCAACAGCCACTATAATCAAAATAAAGAACATTTCCATCCCTTCCCCAAAGTTCCCTCCTTCCCTTGTAGTCTGTCCCTCGTCCCACCGCCCCGCCACAGCTCTTGGAAACTACTGGTCTGTTTTCTCTCCCTCTGTCCCTGTAGTTTTGCCTTTTCCAGAATGTCGAGTAAATGAAACCATACAGTATGTAGGCTTCGACTCTGGCTTGTTCCATGTACCATGATGCCCTGAAGATCTATTCCTGTCGTGTACATCCACGGTTCTTCCTTAATTCTCAGGAGGATTCCAAGGCATAGCTGTACGTCCATTTGTTTGTCCATTTGTCCATTCACTGTACAAAGGACGTTTAAGTTACATTTTGTTTTGGGAGATTGAACAAAGCTGAGGTAAAAAGCCTTGTACGTGTTTCCGTGTGAACGTAAGTTTTCAGGTCTCTTGGATACGTAGCTAAGAGTGGGCTCGCTGGGTGTGTAATAGGTGCATACTTAAGATTTTTTTTGCCATCAGCAGACAATTGTGTCATAAGACTTTCTTTCTTAGTATCTTTTCTATCTTAAAAAAACAAACAAACAAAAAAACACCTCGATGCTACTTCTTTCTCCTATTGTCACCTTCCTCTGATCCCTCTGTTGCAAAACTTCTCTAAAGACTTCTCTACCTGAGGTCTCCGCTTCATCTCATTGTCTTGTCAAGGTCACCTACGGTTGCCAAACCTGTCTTTATCTTTTTGCACTGAACGCCACCTCCTTCTGGAAGCATTTTTCTTCTTGACTTTCTGGACACCCCACGCCTTTCGTTTTCCTCCCAAATTCGTCATCATTCCCACTCAGTCTCCTTTGCTGCTCCTTCCTTCTGTATCTGAACTCTCCATGGTGGAGGGAGGGCCTCGCGTCTTAATCCTCAGACTTTTTCCCTTGTCCGTCTCCTCTCGTCTCCTAGATGACTTCATCAATCGCATGGCTTCAAATACCATCTCTACTCCAGTGACTCCCAAGTCTAGGTTCCAGCCCCGAACTGTTCTGTGATTACCGGATGTCCCAACCTTCGACTCCGCAGCTCCATGTGAGTGTCAAATAGCCCTCTCTCTGACATGTCCGAACCCACAACTCCACCCCCCCCACCCCCCACAACCCCCCATCCC